CTTCCTAGTCACAAAGCTAAATGCAGATATCTCCAAAGAAAGATCGTCCTAGTCAAAAATCAGACTGAGATATCCATAATTAAACTGCAGATATCTTTAAATGGGTTTTGACTAGGAAGAATTCCAATTCAAGATATCTCTTATTAAGTTTTGCCTAGTCAAAAATCCAATTCAAGATATCTACAACTGTAATTTGACTAGTAATAAATAACTTGCAGATATCTACAAATGTATTTTGGATATCTTTAAGAAATCATGAATTAAAGATATCTGCAATATAATTATGACTAGTCAAACACCAGTTAGAGATATCTTGAATTATAATTTTCACTAGTGTTAATTCAGTTAGAGATATCTCTAATTGAATTATCACTAGTAGAATTGTAATTTGAGATATCTCTAATTAGAATTATGCCTAGTACAAAATCAATTATAGATATCTTTAATTACAATTTCTACTAGTCAAAACTCTTTTGTAGATATCCGAAAATATTTTCCAATGGAAGTCAATGGAGCAATATGACTAGTCATAATCACATTGTAGATATCTTAATTTCAATAACGACGAGTCAAAATTGCAGAATAGATATCTGGAATTGGAATTTTGACTAGTCAAAACTAAATTATGACTTGTACAGCAAGGAGTATTTAATGCTAAAACTGCTTGCCATATTCGTGTTAGTCAGAACTATACCTGCTTAAATACCTAACTCTGCATGTCAACCACATGGAAACAATCCATGAATCATAAAACGCCAAAGAGGGTGTACAGAGTTTTCACAATCTACCACCACAACCATGGGTTAGACTCATAACACAACAGCACCCATGTCAATCACACGGGTACATCTATAACATTTACAAAAGTCATTTTTTTCTGATTTCACATATTTAATTATCATAAATACAGGTCATTCTCTCAGTTAAATTAAGTCATGAACAAATAAATAATAAATAAAATAAGTCTATCCACAAATGTACACTCAGAAACTCTAGCTCAGTGGTTCTCAGATGGTTGGTTTCATGCAGTTCTGGCTCACAGACAACAGAGAAAATACAATGCTAGCTCTGGAGGCTCTGGAGAGAGAGAGAGAGTTAAACTACAAAGCAAATATAATACTGTATAGTTCAGATATAAATCAATGCTTCCCATGTCTTGTTGTTAATGTCAACAACTGTGCATACAATCTTTCAAAAAGAAAATAATAATAATAATAATAATAATTAATTTGTGGCCACAGAAACTTGAAAAAACCATTAAGAAACTCATTTTCATATTTCATATCTTGTTGTTAATGTCAACAACTGTGCATACAATCTTTCAAAAAGAAAATAATAATAATAATAATAATAATAATAATTAATTTGTGGCCACAGAAACTTGAAAAAAACATTAAGAAACTCATTTTCATATTTCATATTCAGCATGTTGTTGGGCCTATACAATTTCATACTGATATTACAGGGGCCTTTTCACTATGCCCTGTATGAATCATCACTGAATTTTCATGCACATTAAAATAACTTCTATTAGTACTGCAGATTTGCTCTCTGCTCATCCAACACTGTCTACTTGCATTGTCATTCATTCCCGACAAGACCCAGTGTAATATTCAGTTCCCGGTGAAAAGCTGTTCCAGCGGGTGGAGTGACATTAATATTCATTAGTTCCCGTATTGTGGGTGTGGCATTGAGACAACGCGCAAACGAATGGAACTGAAAATATTAGTGCACGCTCCTCAAATCGCAGCTTGTTTAATGGATTATTTTGAAAAGGTAACGAAGTTTCAATGTTTAGCATTTTCAATAATTATCTCAGACACCAGATACTCACTTAATTTTGCATTGCTTTATTCCACATACACATATTGTTTTGAAAGTTTCCTTGTCTTTTCAATTTGAGTTATATTCAGAAAGCAATTACTTCCGTACTTCTCATAATAACATTTAATGAATGCAATTAATATTTATATAATCTTCAATAGAATTCCCATGTTCCAAAGAGTCCAAATAAAAGACTTACCAAAATAGATAACATTTCATTTGTTAAGCTGCATGTCATGCTACTATTAACCGACATCAGAGAACTGTGAACATGAAAGTTGGTTCTGAAATATTAACTTTAATTAATCTCAGAAGATATCAATCCCAGGAGGAGTCAGAAATGGTTTCATTGTACAGTATGTATGCTTGTAAAATGTGGAAAACACTTTTGAATCAAATTTTCAAATGTTATACATGATTAACACAACACTGTGGATCATGAAATTGTGGATGCTTTTACACACCATTCTTAAACATGTGACATGAAAGTAGGTTGTTTTACAGTGCAAAATATGGTCAAAGAACAGACACAATGTATACTTATATATGATAATTATAATATTTATTAGTAGTAGTAGTTCTTTCTCACATTCCCTAAACTGTTACGCAATACTCTGTTTTTTTGCTCTGTATTTGATTGTTAACTAAATAAAATAATAATGAAAACAACATGACATATGCTTTTGCAGGTCAATTTTAAAGGGACAGTTCGTTCAAAAATAAAAATTCACTCACTCTCATGTTGTTTCAAGGTTGTATGACTTGTTGTATGATTGAGAAATGTGTGAGTGTTTTTGTTCATACGGGTGAGTAAATATTTTAGTTGTCATTTTTGGGTGAAGTTATACCTTTGATCTAGTATAATCTATTAGTACTTGGAGATTGATTCCCAAACAGGTGAATGTGGAAAGATTTTGATGTTTTTAAAAAAAGCTTAAAATAATAATAATAATAATATTAATAATGTGACATTTGCACATTTAATGCACATTAATTTATGTGACTTTAATTATAATACTACATGATATCCAGTAGCTACAATATAAAAAAAAAAAAAAAAAGAACACAGGATACTCACACCAGGTTTGCTTACATTTTATTAGGCCACAGACATATTTGTAGAGGTTTATTTCAAGCATTGTTATAAACACACTGCATTACTAGTCACCAATGACAACTAGGCAGGCTACTAATCAAACTACTCCAAAATTAGAGTAAATAACAAAGAGTAAAGTCGAATTCAAACATATAGACTTGAATAATATCCAAGGAAACAGGAAAACACATGTAGCAAAGGTTGACATGAACAATTCCAGACAAGGGAGAACAGAATGGGCTATCACTCAAATAGGGCAAATAACGAGGGGCAGACAGGTGAGGAGGATAACTAAAAACTAGGAACACCTGGAACAAATGGAACTGAATGTGGACAGGAACCAGAAGGACCAAATACGGGCATAAAGAAACAGGAGGCAGGAACACAGGGAAAACAAAACAAAACGTGACAATAACAGCTCAGACTATTTATCATATTACACAAACTATGCATTGTTTTGACACTGTTGCAGTTAATGCTTTAATGCTTAACATTAAAACTTGAAGCTGCGATTTGAGGAGGGAGCACATATATTTTTAGTTCCATTCGTTTGCACGTTGTCTCGAGGACCAGCCCACAATATGCCAATAAATGAATATTCATGTAAATTCGCTGCGTCACGCGGATACGTTGTTTTTGTTCAAATCAAATCGTAAACAACGTGTCAGCGTGACGCAGCTGACACAGAAGAGCATACGCTGTTTGCGTTCAGTGGATACTCTCCAAAATGGCACCAGGGTGACGCGGAAGAGACGAATTGTTGAATGAAGTCGTTATTTTTGGTTTTCTTTGCATGCAAAAAGTATTCTTTGAAACACAAAGTAAAAATGGCCGGTACTAAGAAAATCTTCATGATTACCCTTTTTTTACGACTCTGTGCCTTAGGGTCACCATTACCCATGGACATAGTCTTGAGTTTCTTAGTGATCTTCACATAAAAACAAAGAAAGGCTACATAAAAAACAAGGAAGAGCACCACTGTAGTCAGGTTAATGGTCCCACCGACAGGCCCCTTGCTGTGGAAGTGGAAGCAAACCTTGTCACACGGATGTTTTTGACTGTTGCTTGTAAAAAAGGGAATCACTCCTGAGATGAGGATCACCCAGACGATGTAGCTTGCCATGTGGCTCCACTTTGTCTTTTGTATTCGACGGACCCAAACGGACTTGATGATTTTCAAGTAGCGATCAAGACTGATGAGGCTGAGAAACAGGATGCTGGAATACATGTTGATGTAGAAGAAGATGCCCACCACCTTGCACAAGTAGAAGGGACCTTTTTTGTTGTGGTAGTAAACTCGCAGGGGCAAGCACATGACCAGGAGGGTGTCCGCTAGGGCAAGGTGCCGCATGTACACAGTCATGGAAGAGTCTGTCTGTCGCCGAAGGAAAAATATGTAGAGCGTGACAGTGTTACAGAGCAGACCAATGCAACAGATGATAATGTAGCCAATGGGCAAGAATGGTGACAATATGCCATCATGAATCTGACAGGACACATTGGTGGTTAAATTGTCTTCCTGCATCATTGTGACGGTCGAAAATCGGTGTACACTTGCTGACTGCTCCTCAAAATCTTGACATACAGTGATTTCCGGTGTTCCTAATGAGGCATGTGAGGAAAAGGTTTAAAAATGGTCTGTATTATGACAGGTTCTTACTTCACTACTGTAAGTATTCCTACACTCTAAAAAATGCTGGGTTAAAAATAACCCAGCGCTGGGTTAAAAAGGGACAAACTACGGGTTTAGAATGACATGAGGGTGAGTAATTAATGACAGAATTTTCATTTTTGGGTGAACTATCCCATTAATGCTAAATTTCAGTGAGTGGGTGGTTTATGCTGATTCTCCTTCTGTTTAAAGCATACATGTTTTCAAACTTGCCCTGAATGACATGCAGTATTGTTTTCCGATATTCACGATATAATAGATAATTGGGTCAAGGCAGCTATTTAGAGCAGACAATAGCAAGGCACTCTCATTTAAGATGTGCAACAATCGTTGGCTTTGAAGATCTCCGATCACATTCATCTGAGCCAGAACGTACGGTATTCGTATCGCATGGTAGGGCAAGAAACACAAAGTAAAGCGTGCCATGTGGCTCCACTTTGTCTTTTGTATTCGACGGACCCAAACGGACTTGATGATTTTCAAGTAGCGATCAAGACTGATGAGGCTGAGAAACAGGATGCTGGAATACATGTTGATGTAGAAGAAGATGCCCACCACCTTGCACAAGTAGAAGGGACCTTTTTTGTTGTGGTAGTAAACTCGCAGGGGCAAGCACATGACCAGGAGGGTGTCCGCTAGGGCAAGGTGCCGCATGTACACAGTCATGGAAGAGTCTGTCTGTCGCCGAAGGAAAAATATGTAGAGCGTGACAGTGTTACAGAGCAGACCAATGCAACAGATGATAATGTAGCCAATGGGCAAGAATGGTGACAATATGCCATCATGAATCTGACAGGACACATTGGTGGTTAAATTGTCTTCCTGCATCATTGTGATGGTCAAAAATCGGTGTACTTGCTGACTGCTCCTCAAAATCTTGACACAGTGATATTCAGTGTTCCTAATGAGGCATGTGAGAAAAAGGTTTAAAAATGGTCTGTATTATGACAGGTTCTTACTTCACTACTGTAAGTATTCCTACACTCTAAAAAATGCTGGGTTAAAAATAACCCAGCGCTGGGTTATATTTAACCCAGCATTTTTTAGAGTGTACAACTTGTTGAATTGCTTTTGAACAAATGCTAAGATCCCAAGAAAAGAAAAATAATCTTACCTGTGTAGCTGGTTTGCTTGTGCTTGAGCAAGTGACTAGATGCATGCCGGTTCAGAAACTCCAGTACCTATGCAGGAAACTCTGCTCGCATGTGACGTTGGACCCTGGTTGCTGTGGTTGACACGACTGCTAACCTCAATGAAAATCTTGAGAAGTGCTAAAACCACGCTGATAGAAGAGCAAGGTCAACAAATGGTCTATATGATGACAGGTTCTCACTTGATCTATTCCTACAACTTCTTGAATTGCTTTTGAATAAATGCTAAGAGCCCAAGAAAAGAATAGCACTCTTACCTGTATGGCTGGTTTGATTGTGCTTGAGCAAGTGACTAGATACATGTCTGTTCAGAAACTCCACTACCTATGCAGGAAACTCTGCTCGCATGTGACGTTGGACCCTGGTTGCTGTGGTTGACATTACTGCTAACCTCAGTAGAAATGCAGAGCAGTGCTAGATAAGCCAAGCAAAACTCACTTCCATTCTCAGAGCACAGGAAATATCTGGTTGCCTAAAATGAAAACTGGTGACCATCACTTAGTTTCTTCATAAAAGTTTTATGAATAAAAAATTGTATTTATTCATTCTTGTTTTATTACTCTTTTGTTAGAGAATTGCAGTACAAACTAGTTTTGAAAATGTATGAAGAAAATATGAGTGGTGTGAGTTTTCATGGTGATTGTTTACTGGAACAAGTTAAGTCTCTTTGATATTCCACTCTCTAGATCAGGGCTGTCCAAACTCGGTCCTGGAGGGCCGGTGTCCTGAAGAGTTTAGCTCCAACCCTAATTAAACGCACCTGAACCGGCTAATCAAGCTCTTACTAGGCATACTAGAAACTTCCAGTCAGGTGTGTTGAGGCAAGTTGGAGCTAAACTCTGCAGGACACCGGCCCTCCAGGACCGAGTTTGGACAGCCCTGCTCTAGATCTAGATGTCCAGTCCTGTTCCTGGAGGAGGTTTGCCACTGTTCTGCAGCGTTCAGCTCCAACCCCAATTAAACACACCTGGACCAGTTAATCAGGGTTTTATTAGGCATGCTAGAAACTTCCAGGCAGGTGTGCTGAGGCAAGTTGGCACTGAACTCTACAGGACAGTGGCTCTCCAGGATCGTTTGGACAATCCTGCTCTTGATATTGCATGGCAGGGATCTCCAACCCTGCTCCTGGAGAACTCCAATGCATAAAATAAACAAAATGCAACCACATACTTACCTACATACATAAATAAATGTGTTACAAAGTACAATGGGTACCAGTGTGATACTAGTACTACTGTGGTAGTATGCATGTAGTAGGCTACTGACCCTTATATTTGATAAGTCCACAATAATTTTATATTCTGAAGCACTGAGCCTGCACATAAATTTACAAATAAGATTTTGTACAACTGTATTGACTCCCGCAATCACAAACATTTCACTTGCACTATGTCATCTAGGTCTCTTTAATAAAATTATTGTTGCATCATTGTAAGCTACATCTCTGTAAGTTTTATATTCCATAATTTAACCACAAATGTGCAGTATACAGTGTACAACATGCTTTAAACAAAGACATATTCACTTCATCTGAACATGCACTAAACTTACATAAAAGTACAGTATGTTAGCCTGTAATATACATCATGCCCCATTGCCTTTCAGTGTCTTCTTCTTCTGTCATGTGCTCAGTAATAAAATGTCCAAGATATTTTTCTTTCACACACACAGTAAGATTCTTATCAGATAATTTAAAACCAGAAAGTTTAGACATGTATCCTATTTAGTTCTACAGATCATAACACTCTTACTAGCATTTCATATAATACTATGTTCAAAGCCATACACAGAACACATGGAATTTGTTGGAGACCAGAACTAGTGGACTGAAGACAATATCATTTGCATACATAATTTAAGTCACTAAAATATAGTACAGGGATCAACAAAACACATAAGTACTGAAGAGTTATATACGTGTTTTTCATTTCCTGTAATGCATATGTACACAGGTCACGGCATGCCATGTTTAGCTTTAAAACCAAACCTGTTATCTGCAGAATTAACTCATTTATCCTATCCAGCAAAATCTTTTCTAAAACTTGACAGAATACTGACAAAAGCTATGGACCTGTAATTATCTGTTGTTGTTGTTGTTGTTTTTTTAGCTTTGTCTTTAATAACTTGTCACTAACAAAACAGATAGCATTGAGTCTGCAAACATAAAACACCAAAAAGGGTGTACAGATCATACAGAATCTACCACTACAAACATGGGTTACACAACATCACCCATGTCAACTGCACGGGAACTATTACAATTGGGTAAATCCATAACATTTACAAAAGTCATTTTTCTTATTTTACATACAGTATTTAACTATCATAAATTCAGGTCATTCTCTCAGTTAAAGAAAGTCATGAAGGATAACTAAAAAGTCTATCCACAAATGTACACTCAGACACTCTAGCTCAGTGGTTCTCAAATGGTTGGTTGAACCAACCACCAGTAGGAAAGACATATGTTGTGTCAAGATCAACGACAGACGGACTGATTATTTCAGTCAGACCAAAGGAGTCCGTCAAGGCTGCAGCCTCAGCCCAACTCTTTTTAATATCTATATTAAGGAAATGGCATCAGCACTCGATATTGTCTGATTTTGCTAAATTGTGTACGTGAAAATATTACCTATAAAGCCACAGAAGAACTGTTGTGCATCTCCTAATACTGAAGCAGCACTGCACAGACCATTCTGTGTGTGACATCAAAGTACCGCGAGAGGGATTAGACAGCATTTAAAAAAAAAAGTGTTTTGATGTCAAATAAGTCTGTTGCTGTTTTGCTTTTTTTGTTAAAGCAGTGTTGCTGTTGTAAAAGTTATACATTGTTGTGCATCTCCTAATAAAACACAATAGGTGTTGGACTTGAAGCAGCACTGCATAGACTGTTCTGTGTGTGACATCAAAATACCACGAGAGCGATTAGACAGCACTTAACCCATTTTTTTTTTTTATGTCAAATAGGTCTTGCTGTTTTGCTTTTTTGTTAAAGCAGTGTTGCTGTTGTAAAGTTGTACAGCTAAAGTTGTGTTGCTGGGTTTTAAAGCAGGTTTGATTTTGTTTCTTCCTTATCACTCTGTATTTACAGGATTTCACTGTTCGCTCAGTTCAAATGTGCAAGAATGGCAACACATATATGTGTGCACACACTGTCAGAATTGTGTGAGATGACTATACCATCCTGCTTTTGTGGGGCTGGGTAGGGGTGTTAAATCGTTTGGTTTTGTTTTTTCCCCCATAGGTTTTTAACATTCTAAATGCTCTTTATTTCCAAAGATACTACAAGCTAGTCAGTGTATTCAGTAGGTGTAATGCATTCTATGTTGCTTCAAAAGTATTGCAAGTATTACATACAACAATAAAACAGTGCATTGACATAAAAAAGGAAATTTACTTTTGGTACTTAAGTACTTTTAAAAGCAAGTACTTCTGTACTTTTACTTAAGTACAAATCTGTCTTTACAACTTTTACTTGTAATGGAGTAATATTTGACCAGCAGTATCTGTACTTTCACTCAAGTAATGGAATTGAGTACTTTGTCTGCCTCTGGTATTGCTGTACACCCAAAGCACTTTACAGTCATATGAGGGGGTCTCTCCTCCACCACCACAGCTTATTTGGTTGACAGATTATTTTTCAAGTACTCTACTGCATGACTTCCAGGTTGTTCCAGCCCAGGTCTGTCGACCGCATTATTACAGTTCTATATATAATTTCAACATGTTGCTTTGGAATTATATTCATTGTGAAAAGTGCTTCACAGAGACATCTGAATTTAATGTTTTATGCAAGTAGGTAAAAAAAAAAAATGAATATGAAATACATATTTCCAGACAATATTTTCTTAACCTCTTCAGCGTTGCGGCATATTTTGGATTTTTAGTGATTTTGGCATACCTGAATTTAAAAGAGCGCCCTACTCACATACATTGGAGTAAATTGATAAAAATTGTCTCATTTCACAGAAAACACCATACATTTTAACACACAGTTGAAATAATTAATATTTTATTGTATTTCTTTTAAAAATAATTTTATGATAAACACAAATTTAAAAAATATCTAATTTTGCTATAATTTTTTTTACTGGGTTTTTATTTGAAAGTCTGTTATTTAAGATCTATTTGGTCCATCTTCCTATGGAAAGTTTATTTTCATTCCACTAGGTGGCAGTAAACAGGGGGGAAAAAATAAATGTCTTTATATCATTAAAAAATGACCTTATCTTCAGACCTTATTATGTTATTTTATGTAACACAAATCCAAAAGTGATGGTATGGACAAGAAAGCTGAGGATCTAAGCTTTCAAATAACACCATATATTTCTAGTTTACTGCTCCACAACTTGTTGATTTTTTTTTTACAATAAATTTGATGACTGCAGAGCTGAAGAGGTTAAATTTGCTTTGGCTTCAGTACAGTAGACATTTAAAGGCCAATCATTTAAAAAATCTTTTAGATTTATACTTGTTTGGTTTTCTCAGACAGCATAGATGGGTCTTTATGCATGTAAATATATATATATATAT